TGTTCCTACGAAATTGTTTCCAACTCGTTTCATTCGTTCACCAAATATTTATTCAGCACCTACTGTGTGCCAGGCACTCACTGTTCCAGGCGCAGGGACGGGGTGGCCGGGGGAAGAACACTAGACCCCCTGGAAGAAGCCGGCACTGTTACGCAGCCGTCCTAGTGACCGCGGCCAGCGGCCCACTGCGACTGCTTCTCCAATGTGTGATTTTTAAAAAGAGGTTCAAAAATGACCTTACACATTTAAGGGGGTGATATGATAGGGGATGGGATTAGATAAACATGGTCATAAAATTCAATTAAACAAGCTAAAAAGCGAGGCCGCGTTGGAACACGAGCAGGAACACACATGCAGGCACGGCATAGAGCTCTGGGTGCGCACCAGGCCAGCCTCGGGGATTCATACCGTTACTCCCTTCGTCTTCCAAGGCTCGGTAACGCTCAGCCCTTGTGTCTGTCTTCACTCTACCGACGGGCAAACTGAGCTGGGAATGACCGCCCTGTCTCACCTTGTCCAGCGTGTGGTAGCCCAGACAGAAACTGCCATGGAGAAGAAGACAGAGCAGCCCTGGCCCCACCTCACCTCCTGAGAAGCAGCCCACGCGGAGGGGAGGCTGGAGAGAGACACGGCGTGGGGCGGAGGAGGACACGGAAACCAGGCCCGAAGACCTCGAACAAGCGGTTTTAGACACAACTGGCTGTCGTGTTTGCGCATACATTACAGCAGGGCTCACAGTGCTCGTGCAGGGTCCTTTCACTCCCGGGGGTCGAGGACGCCACCGCCTGGAATCTAACAGGGGACTGGAACCGCATGTGATAAGTCCAGGCGTGCAGCAGCGGCTGTTCATGAGAGGTTCTAGCCATGTCTAAAACGCATGTTCTTTCTGCAGTGGGGAGGGCTGAGGCAGGGAGCTCCTGGCATTTTTCTCCCATCCAGGCATCTCCAAGGGGAGGAAGTGGTCAGTTACTGAGCGCGGTCTCATCCTGTGTGCGCCCCTCCGGCCGGCAGCGCGCCCCCTCCCTGACAGCGTCGCCCCCGTGCAGTCCCCTGGGGGGCAGCTCCTGCGCCTCCTCTTTGATTTGTCTGCCACTGTGCACTGCTGGACACTGTGTCAGGTGTAGAATCGGCAAGACGCGTCGCACAGGAGGGTCACTCTGGCCTTCCTGCAGTGGTCTCCAGCCGTGCCCATGCCCGCCAGGGCTGGGCTGGGAAGCCAGGCGCTATCCTGCTGCCACTCCTGGATTCACTCTGCAGATTCACGGGAAAGCCAGGCCTGGGCCGGCCCGGCCTGCACTGGCAACCCCTCAGACTACAGGACGCACCTAGGTCTTGGGGTCTGGGCCTTAGACAGGTGCTGCCTGGCAGGCCCAAGCCACAGGCTCTGCGTGCCAGCAAAAGGGGCCCAGGGGCCGATGGACAGAAGCCGGCCGCACCCTGGGGGCCATGCAGGTGCAGACCCACGCAGGGCGCAGGACCCTCCCGCGCCCACGCCAGCCCGGCTCTGAGGGCAGCTGCTCCCGGTGTACAGCGCAGGCCGTCTCTCTCCGTGCTGAGGTCACACCCCCCCACAAAGCACACACTGTGGTGGGAAGAGATGAGGAGTTTGAATTGCTCAGGAAGCAGCATTCCGTCCACACCGCCCTCCTCCGTGAGCGTCCCAGGGGTCTCCAGCCCACACCCGGGGCCTCGGGGCCAGGCCTCCCGTCCCTCCCCACCGCTCCGGAGTCCTGGAGCCTCTGCTCCCGCCCCCCAGTCCCAGTTTCCCTCAGGCTCCACGGCTCCTCCTCCTTTCTCAAGCAGAGCAAATGAATTCTGTCCCTGCTGCCTCTAGGTCTCTCTGCTGTTGTTCAAAACTAACCTGGCGAGCAGGATCCCGGACTGGCAGACAGGGCCGCTGCTCTCCTCACCTCTAACCTGGCGAGCAGGATCCCGGACTGGCAGACAGGGCCGCTGCTCTCCTCACCTCCTGCGTCTCCCTCCCCTACTCAGCCTGCTCCGGTCCGAGGCTCCTTGCCTTGTGCCCCCACTTGGGGCTGGGTGTCTTCAGTGATGCCCTGTACATCATGCCCGAAGGAGCCACCAGGTGAGACTCCAGGGTCCTCTTCCGGTTCGGCCCCTCTTCCCACCTGTGTGGCTGCCGTGTAGCAGGTGTGGGGGAGGTGTGCCGACGGAGCTGCTGAGGCAGGGCCGGAGCCCTGACACAGTGCTGATGCTTTTCAGGAACAGCGGGGCCTTGGTGTCCTGAGCCACCCTGGGTTCAGGTCGTGGAGGAGGTGCGGGAGGAGATGGGGGCTCTCCCAGCCATTGCCGCCCTGGGTGCTTGCTTGCATCTCAGGCCTGTGGTAAATACACCGCGCTCTGCTATAGTGCGCCGTTGGACCTGGCTCTGCAGCAGGCGATGTTGGCGTCTGGCAGGGGGTGCGGCGTGGGACTGACTGGAGAAGACCAAACGCGACCACACGCCTGTCCGGCAGCGGGAGGACAGCCAGGCCAGGGCATCCTCGCCTAGCTGCAGCTCTCTTCTAGAAGATCGTAGCCTGACTTCAGTTACCAGTTCCCTGCGGCCCCGCGCTGCCTTCTGAAAGTCGGTTCCGCCCCTTCTCACACTCAGGACCTTCGAGGCTGCGGTTAGCGGGCGAGAACTCTGACCGGTCAGGGACCAGATTCCTGCTCTGCCGCAGAGACCGGGGCCTCCACACGTCACCTCCTGCGCCCTGTGTCTTCATCGGCAAGATCAACGCAGCGTGGGAGGGGCTCTGCAGATGCTCGGAGGAAAAGTGCAGGAAGCGCTGGAAGCATTTCCTGTTGCTGTTGTGCCGGGCTCTCCCCCAGGACCCAGGAACTGACCCAAGAACCAGCAGAGCGGCCAGGCCGGGCCTTGTGCGACAGTCGGCATCTGAGGGCTCGGGAGGGGCCCTGGGCCCTTTCTCTCGCTCATCCATTTTCCGTACTGTCAGGCAAAGCACCGGGCGTCAGTGCTGAGCTAGGGCAACACGCAGGAGCTCACAGCCAAGGGGGTCGACAGCAGACGGAAACAGAAAGAAGCCCGAGGCGGGTTCCAGGTGGGAGGTTGGTTCCCAGCTACCAGAGGAGGCCCTCGAAATCCACAGAGAGCCTCTCGCAGGGTCTCACCGGCAGGAAAGCCTCACAAGGACGCAAGAGACGTAGGACGTCAGGGCCAGGGAGTTCCCACGTGAGCAGTGTCCGGCCCAGGACTGGACACCCAGGAGACAGAGCCTTAAAGCTGAGTCCCCATTCCAGAGCCCCGATCTTCTGAACAGGGTGCAAAGCCTCCACGACCAAGCAACCGGAGCCTCGGCAGAGCAGAAGTCTGTATCTCCTGGGCGTGTTGTAAACGTTACAAACTCTGGCCGGCTGGCCGTACTCCGCCCGCTCCTGAGACTGCACCGTGAAGCGCAGGGTCCCTGAGTCGTGGCACAGCCCGGCCGTGACCACGGGCTCCGTCCCTCCCGCCGACGCTGGGCTAGTTCTCCTGTTGCTCAGAATGAATCTTCAGACATTTTCCAGGGTGACACCAGTACTTCCAGTGTCACGGTTTCTGCTTTTCTGGGGAGGAAATAAAGCAGACGCTCTTTTGCTCTGTCTCTCTGCCCCCACCTTTGTTTTCTTTTTATGGGGCTGGGGGTGAGAATTGAGCCCAAGGCCTTCCCACTGAGCTACATTCCTAGCCCTGTTTTATTCTGAGCAGTCTCCTTAAGTCCTTCAGTTGTCCAGGCCAGGCTTGAACTTGGGACCCTCCTGCTTCTGCTTTCCCAGGGCTGGGATGACAGGCCTGTGCCACGTGCCTGGGGTCCACCCTGATTTTCTGTCTTGAATTTCAGGCTTCCCCTTCTTGGGTGTCTATGTGGCCCTCAGGAAATCTGCACTCCTTTTCACTCCTTTCAAGCAGCGACAGACCCCTGAGAGTTGCAGGGTGAGCAGCCGGCCTTCTGTGACCCGGTAAGCTCACTCCGGTGGTTAAGTGAGAGTGCATGAGGAGCCGCAGGCGGGCAGGACGCTCCCTGTCACTGTCCTGCAGGGCAGGGGAGGAGGCTGCGGAGGCTGAGGGCCTGCAGGGCCTCCGTCCGGGCAGCAAGCCGGGGAAAGGCCAGCAGCCTCCCCACGCCCGCCCTCCCGCAGGCCGTTCTCCCTGCAGGCCCGGGGCTCGGGGTGCTGCCCTTCCTGGCCGGGCCCAGACAGCTCTGTGAGCGGCGCTCGCGCTGGGTGCTTAGGGTCCCTCTGCCACGGAAAGCCTGCGGCCCTCTCCTGCCCTGGCGGGCGCCCTGGGTACACAGGGCCGTGTGGCCGCCGGGGCAGACCGCGCGCTCCGAGTCCGGGATGGTGACCAGCCCTCCGCGGGGAGAGGGCTCCCCGGGCTGCAGGGACCGGACCGGCGCCCAGGCCTCTTGCAGCCGCCCAGGAAGGCCAGGCCTCCGTCCCGTGACACTCGCTGGGACAGCACAGGAGGGCACGGATCCTGGTACTTCGTCCCTCTGCTTCTAGAAGTTGAGTGAATGCAGTGGGAAAGCCTGCCCTGAAAGTAGCTTTCCCCTGTTTCTGCAGTCCAGAAGAAAAGTTTTTCAAGAACTTAATAATCATGCAAATTTATCATCTGCAAACAGGATCTCACGGAGGGAGGGACAGTAAGCCACCTTTCCTCCTGTTCCCCACGACACAGGGCGGTAGACCGCAGGGCGCGGGCAGGGGCGGCAGGGTGTCAGGGGGACAGACTGCTGTCCCCAGCGCCTCAAGGTGCACCGCCCCGGTTATCCGGCGCCTTAAGGTGGACCGCCCCGTTACGGAGTATTAAGGTGGACCGCCCCGGTTATCTAGCGCGTTAAGGTGGACCGCCCCGTTACGGAGTATTAAGGTGGACCGCCTTGGTTATCCAGCGCCTTAAGGTGGACCGCCCCGGTTCCTGAGTGTTAAGGTGGACTGCCCCGTTATTGGCTCCCCGAGGCTGCGGAGGGGCGGGGCCTGCAGGACCGAGGTCACGAGCACCAGCCCGGCTGTAAGACGATCCGATCCGGCCGGCCGGCAGCCGCGGGCACACACTCGCATTCCTGTCAAGTCGCTGGGAGCGCGTGGATGTGCAGCCGGAGCCCCTGAGCGGCGGAG